GCCCCCTTCCCACGGATCCCCGCCCCCTTCTCCCTTCTCCCGACACGCTGCTCTGCTCTGTCGCTGTAGCATCACACTATTCCGAAGCCACTGTAATATCCTGCTTAGCTCAGGCTCCTCCTCGCCTCCTGTCTGGGAACATCTGAGCCACAGAGATCCAATTTAGATGTACCTCCCCCTCCGCACGCGGCAGGTGGCACGCGGGATGAACGGCCGGCTGCGGTAGATTGCCTTCAGATTGACTTTCTTCAGCCCCCCTGCCCCACCCCCGGCTCGTTTCGGCTCGTGTCGGATGGGCGCTTGTGTGCCACGTTGTCGCCGTCCCGACATCGCTGCTGATAATTACCGCCAGTCTCTCGTTTCCCGCAAGTGCCGTACGCAGCCAGGCTAGCGGCTGCATGAGAATGCTCACATGTACTCTGTTCACCAGTGCAATGCCTTTCACACATGTGCAACTCAGACAAATTAGTTTAGACATTATTAATCAGCCTCAGAGCTGCATCACATTACTAATCAACCGCAGAGCTGCATCAGTCCGCTGGTTAAGATTCAGGGGCTTATCTGAGTCCCAGAGGCGACTGTGTCCTTCTGGTGGTTCAGAAGGCAGGTTAGGTGTCTGAAAATTATAAAAAGAAGGAAGGCAATTCTTAACCAGACTGAGTCACGATGTTGTCTAAGCCAGAATTAAATTTCCGTGATTTATTCTGCCAGGGGCTGCGCACCTCCTGGGTCAGGGGTTCATCCTGGGGTCTTTCTGATAATGATTGGTTACAAGTATCTAAACTCTCAGAAGTTTCTCTGAACATCCCTCAAAGCTTGACCTTTACGTTTGCCTTTGCTATTCAAATCGAATTAAATCTTGCCGCTAATTTACACCGACCTGAATGAAGGGTCTTTGAAAATGAGGCTGTCTGACAGCTTGGTTTGGTTCCAGTGCTGTACTTGGCAGGTGTCTCCTGGAGGATCGGCTGATGAATGATGGATAAAGCCCAGAGGCCTTTTTGGGGTTCATGATAATACTTAAGGAGTCTAAATTCGGCTTTAATGTGAATCTGTTACCTAAAAAATATACAAACACCCCATATCTGGTAGTGAATGAATGGGACTTCCTCTGCATTAGCATTCATTATTTTTTGGCATCCATTTGGGTTAGCCTGTCCTGCAGAAATGGTTCTTATCATCCATGCCCTATAAGGTGTCAGCAGGGGGCACTAGATCCCATGCACATCTTCTGTTATATGCACTACATAAAGAGAGCAATCTGTCTAGTGGATTTCTGGATATACTTCTGTGGGAAAGCATGCCAGGCTATCTGGGGAGAGATGCGCCATTAGGAGTGACAGCTGGGGTGACAGGGAGGAGAAGGTAATAAGGATCTGTTTGTCATCAGACACTTCAACACGAGTGGGATATGACAGAAGGTTGGCCACCTTGCTGAATCGCGCAGTTTGGGAAATGTGTAAACATGTGGCCATCTTCTGTGCCCTCCTGCATCCAAAGGATGACATCGCCGAGGACAGGAAGGTATCCGGTGGGAGTAGCAGTTTCTAAGCTCCTGCCCCCCTTCTCTGTATGAGCGAGGATTAGTGCTCCGTGGTGCTTCCTATGCGAATAACAGGCACACTGCCCCAAAACACCATGCTGAGTGAGCAGCGGTAGCATAGGCGAGCTATGGCAGCCAAGCAGGATGTGATTATGCAGGCGTCACAGCAAAGGCGGCCTGTCCGCTCTGTAGCCTGTCTTGTTCTGCGGCCTGTCTTGTTCTGCGGCCTGCCTTGTTCTGTGGCCTGCCTGCCCTGCCGCCTGTCTGTTCTGCCGCCTGTCTGTTCTGCGGCCCTGGAGCTCCCATCTAGCTGACTGTGACCCACACACTGGCATCCAGAGCCGTCCAGCTCAAGCGTTACATCTCAAAATTTAGCAGGTCAATGGATGCCTAACAACATCTGAATGCTGGAATTTGAATATATTGGAGCTTTTTTGCCATCAGAGATCTAGACATTCATTTCACTATCTTTAAAGAATTACTTATTGGGTGTTCTCTGTTGTGCCGACTATGAATGTAACCCAAGCAGAACCGATCTGTGAAAGTGTGCAGATCTCTGACACCAGAAAGGTTCAACGGGAAGAGCTATCCCGTTACAAAGCCATGTGAAGTAGGCCACTGTTTCCCCGCTGAGGACAGAGATCAGTCCAACAAAGGGGTATGTCTGTGCTGTGGTGTGAAGCACTTTGAGGAAGCGGGTTTGTTTTCTTGCCCATTTCCTTTTGAGAGATGGGCAAGATGTAAGAGCACCTGTGGCTGAGCGGTTGACGGCATCCCGAGGAAGCTCTCCATCCCAGAACTGGACGTCAGCTGGACCTGTGCCGGTGCTGCACTCGCCTCTGTGCTACAGAGAGCTACGGCTGATATCCAGCAGCTTTCTCCTCAAATGTCATTTTGTTTTTCCGCTACTTGGGGTATTTTCATAACTTTAGCAGAAATAACAATCGGCCTGCTTGATGTAATTAATTTGATCTCTCTTATTTTAGAAAAGTGTTACTGATTCATGCGAGGGCTAAAGTAAATTATAAGCTCTTAATTAAATATGCCCTTCCCATGAGCTTCTTGGTGCGACAGTCTATGTAGTTTTAATAGCTAAGTGCTGTAAAAGCCAAGCTGTCTGACAGACACGCCACCTCCGATTATGCCGAGGTGAGTGCAGGCGGAGAGGTGCCTCACTGGTGTCTTGGGGCTCGGCGGAGCTGCCGGGGAACTCCGCGGCCAGATCAGGACAGCCAACTAAATGCTGATAATGTGACTCCAGACTACAACAGGGAGGAAAAAGAGGGCCTCCCGCGGTGGCCCAACAGGGACATGGGAGTGAGGTGAAGGAAATAAATTGCCTATATTCATCACTAAGAGCCTGTCCTCACACACAGGGCTGAGACGAGCTGCTGGTATCCCGCCCGGGCAGATTAATCCTGGAGGTTCTGTCAGGCACTCCTGTGGGACGCCCCATGCCATTTTGGTAGGGTTATCCATCCTCGGTCATTCCCTTACATTTTAGAGAGGCGCCTCGGTGTGGACCGGATGGGGATGGGGTCCGCTTTAGCATAGGGTGCAGTTTCCAGCATCCTGGTGCCTAGGGACCCGACTCGAGTGGCTTCCGCAAGCCACACCGCGGCTGCCTCTGGATCGTGATATCAAACCCCTTGCTGCAGCCGGCTCGGCTCTGGATCGGCATATCAAACCCCTCACTGTAGCCGGCTTTGTTCTGGATCGGCATATCAAACCCCTCACTGTAGCCAGCTCAGTTCTGGATCGGCATATCAAACCCCTCACTGTAGCCAGCTGTGCTCTGGATCGGCATATCAAACCCCTCACTGTAGCCGGCTCAGTTCTGGATCGGCATATCAAACCCCTCGCTGTAGCCGGCTCAGTTCTGGATCGGCATATCAAACCCCTCGCTGTAGCCGGCTCGGTTCTGGATCGGCATCTGCAGTTCTGCTGTAGCTCCGTCTATCATACATGCGCTGCCTGCCTCCGCTCCGGATTTGTAGGCATAGGTTTGGATCCCTCCCTTTTCCCCAAACAGATCAACGTGTTGTTGTTTATGCCGCTTTTGGAGGGATTCAGTTTACATTTCCGTTATGTCTATAAAGCTGAACTTAAATGGCGCTGTGTCCCAGTGGCGGGACCCGACAGTCGGGCAAGACGCTAGAAATCAATTAGCTGGTAGCTGCCCTGCTACAGGGTGACTGGGCCCCAGCTCCGTGTCGGCCACCTGCCACTGGCAAGTCTTGAGCACCTCTGAGACCGGCCACCACCTTGCGCCTTCATACCTCCAGGCTGTTAGGCACTTCAGTTCAGGCTGTAAGAGAACCATCAGAAATGTTCAGGAAGCGTTAAGCCTTTCTGAAGGGGGCAGTCTTGGCGTGTCGCACTTAAGCTGCCCTTCACGCCAGGCCGATTGCAGCTCTGAGCCTCAGCCGTCCGTAACGCCAGGCCGACGGCAGTTTGGGGTGAGGGAGTCTCTCCGCCACCGACCTGTAACTACATTTGGCTAATAGCTTTTAGGTGACTTCACATGGCTCCAGAGTGGAGTCGTAAGTTGATTCTGGCTCTTCCAGCCACGTGAGGAAGAAACCTGGTTTCTTTGGGCCTAATTATCCTTCCACGTGGTTCTGTCTGCATAAGCACGTTCTTCTGTGGAGCCATGCTTCTGTTGAGGTGTCATGCCACGGGATGTTGCTTGCTTGATTTATTATTTACTCTCCTCGAAATAGGTGCATTCCCCAAACAAAACCTTCAGTAAACCGGGTGATCCTTATGTCAGTTATGCTGACACCCATCGCTGGGTCCCTGGTTCAGCGCAAAGTTGCACCTATGACAGTTTTGCAGGCTGAAGTCTTTCAGGTCACTGAAATACTCTGGTTAAATTGGACTGGTAAACTGGTTAGCTACTTGCTACAGAAAAAAAAATCACACAATCCATCTTTCTTAACCACTTACCTGGTACAGAGTTACAGTGACTTGTTGAAAGTGACTCATTTACATCAGCCTGTGTTTAAGGGCCTGGCCTGTTCTCTTTCCCATTCCCCGTTGTTTTCTTTAATCGTCTATCTCCCGAACTCCAACAGCTACTGGCTCGTGTGCAGCTCCTCGCACGGCGCCTCGCACGGGTCCTCCTGACCTGGCGCAGCGGCAGACGTTACCTGTGTAATTAGCGTGAGACTTAACGAAGCAGGCGATAAACCCGAAGAACCCCGTGGTTCACCACGTTGACCCTTGTGCCATGTCTCTGCAGACGGTGCCCAAGCCCATCGCCATGGAGCCCTGCTTCGGGAACAGAGCGGCTGTGCTGTCCATCTTTGTGCGGCTGCCCAGGGGCTCTGGAGGCATCCCGCCTCCGGGACAATCAGGTCAGTACCCACTCCCCATCTCATCCCCTTCAGGGCATGTTCTCTCTGTTTGTGACACACTTCGCATTCCACATTCTCTTGACTAGATCACACCTCTGCTCCGTGTTCTGCTTCGTCTCGTCTTTACTGCGGCTTTGTCATGATCTTTATTTTACTTTAGCCACGCTTTTACCATCTCTGTCTCTCCTGCTAGATTGTATCCGCCGCACTGTCACAGTCTCTCCATGTTCTGCTGTGTTCTCGCAATCACATTTCCTCCCATTTTCTCAGTTGCATTATTTTCTTGACACTCTCCCGATCCGTCTCTTAAAGTCTCAAGTTTGTTTTTTTTTGTTACAATCCCTCGTCTTCCTCTCTCCCGTTCCTTATGTAGTGTTGTCACATTCTCACCCTCAAGAGACAGCAAATAGATGAAGACCGTCTCTGTTTAGGCCTTGTTGCCAGGTAGGCGGGGGTCAGCCCCTGTTGGGTAGCTTTGTGCCATGGGGATGGATCCTCTGATCTATGGGAAAAACTGTCACATACATTCTGGTATTTAAAGGGAACACATGGCTCTTGCCCATTTTTAAGTAGCTTTCCAGTTTGATTTGAGGGTATCAGAATTAGGGGCTTCATTTACATAGCTTGTTCTGAAGTGTCCAGGTTACGGTCATTGCCTCGGAAATGTTCCGACTGCTCATTCCTACCAGTTATTACTGATGGCCGGAAGGGTTTGGATTATCAACAGCCAGTAATTAGTCCAGTCTACTAAATGGAGATTGGCTGCATTGGCTTTGCTAAATACAAATGATCAGGTGTAAAACGGCCAACGCAGGAGGATCAATATGCAGAAGACTCTCTGGAAGACTGTAGCGTATCTCTGCCAAAACTCCGACTGCTCTGATAACTGTTGGTTCCGGAGCAGGGTGATTTCATGCTGGACTGAACAAAAATCACTGTACGGTTGTTTTGCTACAGGCAAGCAAATTGGAGTTAGGTTATAGAGTCCAGGTACATGAAGTAGACGGGCTTGTTTTATCAGTCGGCGTAACTTGATGGTGGGTTTGATTGTGGGTTTCATTCAGTCCATCTGTGTGCCATTTGCATGTTCTGCCCATTTTTGTTCGCCTAATTTAACCCTCTGGGGTCGAGTGCATTGTCGGCGACGCAGCGTACTTTTCGCGTCTATTTTAGTTTATATCTTGCTGAAATCTTAATGTAGAATCAAGAAAAAAACGCTGGATAAATCCGTAATCTGTCTTCTTTTCAAAACGTCCATTGTCGGAAGTATTAAAGTTTTTTTAATTAGGTTAAATCGGCAAAAAAGTAAACCATGTCA